TAAGGTAACTGACCTCGTAGGAGTCCCTGCTAGCGCCTGCTGCAGAGTGGCTCCGTGTTGAGTGGGAACTAAGGAAAATACTCTTTCCATCCTTCAGTCCCCAGCAGCTCTTGGCTCACCAAAACACCCTGGGCTGGGTTGGAGCCTAAGAGGAGCCTCCTAGGAGCAGGCAGGGCTGGCACGCAGCCAGCTCTCCTTGGTTTTGGAGGGGACCGTCTTGTCCCAGTCCGGACCCCGAGGAGCCCTCAAGCCTGAACAAAGACGATGGATGGGCGAAGGTCACGTGACCAGGAGTCCTTACCCAGCAGTCTTCTTGCCGTTGCCCAGGTGATGGTTCGACCTGACCAAGGGCATCCTGGGAGTTCCAGAATTCACCTTCTTGGCCCCAGCCTGCAAGCCTACGGGAGGATGGAAATAGAATTCCAACATCTTTGACCCCTGGGTGCAGCCGGGCCGGAAGCTGTGGGCTCATCATGTGCGTGGATGAGCTTCCGGTGTGTGTGAACTTTCCCTCGGCAGCAGTTGAACGTGTCCTGATTAGAGGAGCTGGTGCTCATGACCCAGCTGCTCGCTCGCTCGCTCTGTTCCCTACTCACCAGCAACAGGCTCTCTGGGGTAAGAGCATGGGTAGCCCCGACTTTCTCCACAGGGACCGAGAATCGAGAGGCCCTGCACACAGGGCGGGCTGGGTCTCACCCACCTTGGAGAGCCACGTTGTTGCTGACTCTCTTCCTCCGAGCCTTCAGGATCTGCACAGCCTTCCTCACCACCCTGTCCTGAGGGTTCCCGCACACTGCCCTGCCCAGCTGGGGGAAATAGAATCTACAGAGAGCAGAGAGGGGGTGTGCAAGTCAGCGTGCAAAGGTGGGGGACAGAGCCATGCGCACCCCACCCCCTAGGACCCGCCTTACTCACATCACCGCTGGTAGATTGCAACTTCCGCTCACCTCCTGCCACCGGAAATACCTGGCGCGCAGGAACACGGGCAACCCGAGGTGGGGGTGGTAGGCCAGGCAGCAGTCCTCCGCGACGCCTGTAAGCACAGGCCACCCGCGCGCTCAGAGCTGTGTGTGTGCGCCTGGCAGGGGCAGCCACAGACTCAGGCATCCGTGTGAACGTCGGCCTGAGCCAGGCGTGGTGGCGCACGCCTGCCATCCCAGCCCTCAGGAGGCAGGAAGATTGCTGTAATCAAGGCCAACCTGGGCTGCGCGGAGAGACCCTGTCTCAACATCCAAAAGGAAGGGTGGATGCTCACTTTGCCTGACTCACTCTTACCCCTCGATGGGAACAGCTGGCAGGAGGTGGGGGGTCCACAGGCCCTGGCCAGGAAGGGCACGGGCCTTCCCAGGAACGGCCCAAGATGCCTTGTATTCCTGCTCTGGGGCAGACGGTAAGCAAGGGCAGGTCAGCACCCTGAGGAGGGGCCCTGGGCCACCTGTCCCCAGTCCTGTGAGCCCCCTTTCCTAAAAAGAGCAGGATGGTTTGCTGCTCCTGAGGTCCGGGCCCTGCTCCAAGCTTCCCTGTCCCTACATGGGCCTAACTCAGATCCCCCTCCTCTCTGTCCCCACCCTAGTGACCTGTCCAAACCCTCGGAGTTCTGTGTAGGTTTATCTATCTGTCTAGCAATCGCATTTATAAATTTTTGAGACAAAGTCTCACTATGTATCTCAGGCTGGCTTTGAACTCACCGCGATCCTCCTGCCTCAGCCTCCTGAGTGCTGGGATGACAGGCGTGCGCCACCACGCCCGGCTCTAACAGAAGCATTTAAAGAATTCCTGTGACTGCCGGACTTGCAGACAACACAGAGAGGAATAGGAGCGCATGGTGGTGTCTTGGGGGAAGTCCTGCCCTGCTGCGAAGCTGATCTGTGCAAAGCGGGGCGTACTAGCACCGGACACTGGGGTTGCCCAAGGAGGGGGTGGCAACAGCTGAAGAAAGAGAGGAAGAGGAGCAGGTAGAAAGAATGAGCAGAGGCGGTGCTGGAGGGGCAGGCATGGTGGAAGCCAAAGTGGGTTCCCTCGCCATCCTCTAGTGGAGCTTGCTCCCACTTCCGGTGCAGGGGGTGGGGGGGGGGGGGGCAGGTTGCGGAGCAGGGAGAGGCTCAGCCCCCTTGCATCCTGGACCTTGGCCCCTGAGGGGAGGTGGCAGATAGCACCTGTGCTCCAGGGATCCTCCAGGGTAGCTCCCACCGATCAAAGGGCAGGGCTGGGCCTGGCTCTGATAGTAGGACAATGGAGCCCAGTTTCCCTTCTGGGCAAAGGCTAAGCTCAGCTGGGAGCAGGGACCCAAGAAAGGGGCAGGGGGGACAGGTGGGGCAGCAGGGTGGGGCCAGGGTCCCTGCTAGGCTGGCTGTGAGACCCAGAGGCCTCTCACCTCTCACTCCAGCCTCCTGCGAGTCACCCTTTTAGCCCCTGGATCCAGCTGAGCCTAAAGCCTTTGGCTGGTTATTTGAGCCAACAGCTTTCCCCTTTGTGGGCTGCATACCTGGCACTGGCCCTTGGCAGCAAAGCCCTGCTCTGGAGAGTGGGTGGGGAGGCAGATAGAAAAGCTTTCTCACTAATATGATAATAGCTCTTATCTTCCAAGCTGAGCACTGGACCAAGAGTCTTTTGCAACCATCAGTTCACCAGATTCTCGGGTCTCCATGCAGTGAGAGTCAGATCCCCACTTTCCAGATGGGAAAACTGAGGCCCATAAAGGCGAGTTGTAACTCTCGGCCATGTTGCACAGGGACTTGGGGTTGGGCCTGGGGTGGACTGCACTTCCCAAAGGGCTCCAGGGCTCCGATCTCCAGCCCCATCCCTGGCTCTGCATGGTCTAGACACTGATTTAAGTGGCTTTGCCACAGCTGGAGGCCACCCTCTGCTCCCCAAGGCTCCAGGCCACCAAGAGGGCACCAGGGCAGGGAAGCGGGGGCTGGAAAAAGGAGCTGGGGACCCTCTGACTCCCCCCACAGGACTGGAATGAGGGCTAGGAATTCCTGCTGTGCCGGGGACTCCTGGAAGGTGGGAGGGACAGATGGGGATGACAGCAGGGACGGAGCCGGTGGAAGATCCGGTGCAGGGGTGTAGGTAAGACGGAAGACCGTACCTTGGGTGTGGACTGCAAGGACCCAGGCTCCCACGAAGGAAGCTACCAGGCAGGCGAGGAGCCGCAGGTTCATGGTACAGGCTGGACCTCAGGGATAGCAGAGCCGCCTGGGGGTGGGGTTGGAGGGAGTCATGGGGACCCTCCCCGGGGGACCTGCATCTCCAACCGCGCCCCCGGGCCCTTGGTAGAGAGGTGAGTGACACCAAGGGCAGAGGGGACCTGCTGCTGGGCCCAGCGTGGTCTGGGAGGACTCACCGACTGGTGACCTCGGGACTAGCTGGGGCCTGCTGGTGGAGACTGCAGCCTGGGGGTTGCGGGGACTGAGCTGCACCCTTTATAGGCGCGGCCCCGCCCTGCAGCACCCCACCCTCCCTCCTCCCTCCTCCCTGCACACCTGGGACTCCAGACTTCTCCCACTGTGTAGACAGAGGGAGCCTTGACCCACACCTGGCTCTCTAGGCTCCCGTGCCCCACCCCTCCATCCCAAGCCTCTGGGCCAGCACCCCGCCTCCACTGTCTCTGCAGGGCCTCTCCCTTCTCTAGGTCCCGCACCTTCACAGCGGGGGCAGAGGCTTCCTGCAGACCAGAAAGCCCAAGAGGAAGCCTTTCCCTCACTGCCCACTCCTAAGCCACCCGTGCCCCTAGGTCCCTGGCTCCTTGCCCTTCTGCACTCTTGAGCAGTTTGTCATGGCACAGAAGTGCCTTGCTTTTGAAAGCAGGAGAATCCACAGAAACAAAGCAAATCCACCGTGGCCACGGGGAGAGGCGGATATCGGCTATGCCAACATTGGGAGCGGGGAGGCGCCCCACACGTAACATCACTAGTTTACACGTTCAGTGTGGATTTTCTCCAGTATTACATTGAAAATGAGCCCAGTAACACCATAATTAATAATCACAACCAGGGCAGGGGATTTGGCTCAGTGGTTCCGCTGTCTGCCTCGTAAGGGGATAGGGCCCGAGTTTGATTCCAGGTTCCAAAAAAAAACACCCAAAAGAAAACCCACAACCATAAAGAAAAATCCAGCGTTTGTTTGTTTTGGTACCCGGGGATGGAACTCTGGGCCCTTGTGCTTTTTGTTTTTGTCTTTGTTTTTTTGAGACAGGGTCTCACTATGTAGTTGAGACTGACCTGGAACTCACTATGTAGCCCAGGCTGGTCTCGAATTCACAGCGATCCTCCTGCCTCAGCCTCCCCAGTGCTGGGATGATAGGCGTGCGCCACCACGCCCGACTGTCACTGATTACCTTTAACTTTTTTTGTTTTCTTTGCAGTGTTAGGGATGGAACCCAGGGCTTGGCGCATGCCCTACGGCTGAGCTACACCCCCAGACCTGCTGTTAACTTGTATCACCCCTATCTAGCTATGCCTGAGCTCTCTCCCTTGCTTGTCTCCTCCGAATCCCGGAGGACCCAAGGCCCGGCAGAGCTTCCGGGCTCCGCTTAGGGGAGAGGCGGAGCTACAGTAGCCCAGGCACGATCGGGATTTGAGGGAAAGGCCCCTGGGTCCAGAGGCGGGGCTAGTGGGTGGGGCCTGGTGAATGGCAGTGGGGCGAGTGGTATGGGCGGGACTTATAGCCGCCGCAGGGTTGCAAGAGTCGCCCGCTTAGTGCTTGGGGCTCCCAGGCGTCTGGCCTGTCCTGCGAGCCGCTCAAATTCCTCAGCCTCTCCTGGTGGGTGGGCGAGGCTGGGCCGGGACTCGGATTCGCGTGGTTGCTTGTGGTTGCGGGCTTGGGGACGCGGCGTGGCGGGCAGTAGCCAACCTACCCCCTGCGGCCCACCGCCCCCGCTACCCTGGCCCATTTGACCTTGGTGGGAGGTCACCTCCCCGCCTTGCCCCGAAGGGTTTGTCCCACCCGCAGCCTCCAGGGAGAGAGGGTTACCTCTTCAGGGGACCCGGGTGGAGTGACGGGGACCAGAACGCAGACTTTGCAAGAGATGTGCGCTGGGGACTTGGGTGTTGGGGCGGGAGACGGGATGCCTGCAAGGAGAACTGATCTGCGTTAAAAAGTGTGTGAGCCGTTGGTAGGAAAGTGGATGCACCCGAGACCACGTTAAATGAAATAAATACACAGTTTAAATATCATATGGTTTATCTTATAGGAGAATCCCGACATATAAAAACTGCTGGGCGTGGGAGCTCACACCTGTAATCTCAGCACTGGGGCACCAGTTCAAGGCCAGCCTGGGCTGCAAAGTGAGTTCAAGGTCAGTCTAAGCTACATAGTGACAGCCTGTCTCAAAAAGAAAAAAAAAAAGAAAATAAAAGATAATAGGAGCCCGGTGTGGTGGTTCACGTCTGTGATCCCAGTACTCAGGAGGCTGAGGCAGGAGGATTGCCCTGAGTTCGAGGGCAGCCTGGACTACATAGCAAAACTCTGCCTGAAAAAAAAAAAAAAAAAAAAAAAAAAAAAAAGGAAACAGGGGTCCGGGGATTTAACTCAGTGTTTCTGCCACCTGCTTCTCAAGCTCAAGGACTTGAGCTTGATCCCCAATACCAAAAGGCGGGGTGGGGGGACAGGGAGGTAAATCTTTAGAGAATGGGAGGAGACCAAGAGATGGAGGAGAAGGAGGTGGAGGGAGAGGGACATAAAGAGAATTAACATACGTTATGTACAGTACCAACTCCCACGAGGAGTGCAATTATTGTGTACTGCAGCGTGTACTAATAAAAAATGTATTTTAAAAGGGTGGATTCCTGAGGACCGTGGCTGGTGTGGGGCCAGAACTTCAGCCGCCCTCCGGCTCCAGGGAGGGGGCAGTTGCGGGGTCTGTGGCTGCCACTCAGCCCAACTCAGGCCTGATTTCACCCCAGAGGGAGGGGGCCATAGAGGCCAGGAGGTGAGGTCATTTACCTTTTTATATTCCTTTAGTTTTGAGGGGGTTCTCAGAGACCGAGTATAAGCTCTGGTCCTGGGGTTGGCTCCGTCCTTGGGTTTCTCCTGCCCCTACTCGCTGTGGGTGGTGGGGTAGCTGGGGAAGGGGTGGCTGCCAGATGCAAGCCTTCCATCTGGGGCTGGGGCTGGGGCTGGGGTGGTGGGGGACCAAGCTGAGGGGTCCCCTAGGGCCCTGCTTCCTGAAGCAGCTGAACTCTGCTTCCCTTTCCAAACAGGCTTTCTAAGCCAGTCTCTCTCTCCCTCTCTCTCCCTCTCTCTCTCTCCCTCCCCCCCCCTCTTTCTCTTTTTTCAATACTTGGAGTTTCTTTTTTTTTTGTACCGAGGGTCAAAATCGGGACCTTACACTTATGAAGCAGGCGGCGGCACCACTGAGCTGAATCCCCAGCCCTCTCTCCAACCCGGCCCTCTAATACTTGGGATTGAACTCAAGGCCTTCCCTTTTGAGAGAGTCTCCCTAAATCATTAAGTTGCCCAGATGGGGCTCAGACTTGCAGTCCTCCTGCCTCAGCCTCCCAGAGTGCTGAGATTACAGGCTGGTACCACCACGCCTGGCTTCTGAGCATCCCTGACGCACCAGCCAAGTGCAGGCCCAGGGGTGACAGCAATAAGCAAGCAGATGGGTCAGGGCCATCATAGATGACAGTAATGTCACTGTGTTGTCTCTGAATTCCCATTTGAGGCTGGATTTTGTTGTTGTTGATTCGCTTTGTTGCCCCAATACCAGGGATCAAACTCAGGATCTTGCACTTGCAAGGCAGGTGCAGTGCCACTGAGCTAAATCCCCGGTCCAAGGCTGTTTGATAATTCAGTCATTCAACAAACACCATGTAAGTGTCTACTGTCTGCCAGGTGTGGAACTACGTGCTAATCCTAAACCTTCTTACCAGGACTTGTCTGCGCCTTTCCACAAAAGCCACAAAATGACGCTCTTTTCCCACCTGTCCCACACTCCTTGTGACTCCTGACAAATGCCTGTACTTTCTTACATGGCTCTTGGAGACCTTGACAAAGATCTCAGCTGCTCCTTGCTTCGTGGCAGCGCAGAAGACAAGCAGCAAATAACAAAGCAAGATGCTCTGAGATTGGAGTCATGGCCACCCATCCCGGATGACAGGGACAGACTGGGGATGATGATGAGTTGGGTTCCCCCAAAGAGAGAGGTTTAGCTATTTGTGGGGCGCATGCCTGTAATAACAGCACTGAGGGAGGCTGAGGCGGGAGGATCCCAAGTCCGAGTCCTGCTTGGGCAACTTAATGAGATTCTGTCTCAGAATAAAAAGTAAAGGAGATGGGGGTGTGGTTGAGTTTTAGGATTCCCCACCTTTATATAGTGGGGGGGTGGCTTGAGGTAACAAGAGAATCATAAGATTAAAATGTGTCCCCACTTTACAGGGAAAAAGCAGTCAACTGAAGCTCAGAGAACTGCAGGTGCCTGACCAAGGAGCAGCAAGGCCTGATTCCAAACCTGGATCTGACACTTTGATCTAAACTTTGCTGCTTGGGGTGCTGTGTTAAGCAAGGATTTTTTTTCAGCTGGGACCCTGCACAGCTGGCCTGGTGAGTCTTTTCCACCACAGTCACACCCAGCACATCACGAGACTCTCTTCTCCCCAGCCAGACTCCACCTGCCTGCTCATCTTGATGCTGGGGATCTAACCAGGGCCTCAGGCTTAGTAGCCAAGGGTTGTACCTGCTGAGCTAGGTCCTCTGCCCTCCTGGAGATAAGGGTTAATCAGGTCTTGGTTACTCTAAATGATCTTTGTTTGTGCAGTACTGGGGAATGCACATGTGGTCGAAGCCTTCAGTCCTGTGTTGAATTTTTAATTTTGAGACAGGGTTTTACTCAGTCCCTGAGTTGCCCAGGCTGGGCTCAAATTTGTGATCTTCCTGCCTCAGTCTCCCAAAGTTCCAGTATTACAGGTGTGTGCCACTATACCTGGCTTTTCTTCCTTCTTTTATTTTATTTATTTATTTTTTAATTTATTTTTTGGTTTATTGAGACTGACCTGGGACTCACTAAGTAGCCCGGGCTGGTCTCAAACTCACAGCGATCCTCCTGCCTCAGCCTCCCGAGTCCTGGGATTACAGGGGTGCACCACCACGCCTGGCTCTTCCTTCTTTTAAAAAAATGGGTTTGTTTATTTATTTGTCTATTTATTTATTTTGAGCGAGGGCAGATCTCATTTTTCCCAGGCCTGGGCTCAAGTGACCCTCCTGTATCTGGGACTGTAGGCACATGCCACCATGCCCAGCTCACCGATGGTGTTTCATATTTTTTTAAGTCTTTATTAAAAGTTTTTTTTATTTGTGGTGCCGGGGATTGAACCCAGGGCCTTCCTGCATGCTAAACAAGTGCTCAACTGGAGTGCCACCCCTCTACTCCTCTCCACCTGTCTTAGTCACCCCGGGGCCAAGGACCAGACAGCCTGCTGGACGGAGCCCCTGCCCCAGACCTGGTCTTCCTGTCACACCCACTCCTTTCCCTGGAAACCATCTTAAAGCCGCCTCTTCGCTCCTTCTGCCCTCCGGTGGGCCCTGGTTTGTCCCTGTGTGGCTTGGTGTGGCCCCTTCTCTGGGACACAGAGTGACACAGGTCCGTGTGTGTGTGTGTGTGTGTGTGTGTGTGTGTGTGCGTGCGTATACCCAAGGGTGCTCTACAACAGAGCTACATCCCCAGCCCTTTTTATTTGCTATTTATTTATTTATATTTGGAGGACAGCTTGCTTTGTTAATGTTTATTTTCTCGAGATATTGTGCATGATAAAGTACACATTTAACATGTAAATTTGTTTCCTCTTCGAGGACACAGTGAGCAAAGGGAAACTTATAAGGGCGAATCTGTCTAAATCTCTGTCTTTCTTGGTGTATCTGAGCACCCAAAGAAGTTGTTCCATGGGTTGCTACGCATGGTCTTGCTTGTTTTTTATTTATTTATTTCAAAAAGGTCTTGCTAAATTATCCAGGCTGGCCTCCAAAGTTGCAATCCTTCTGCCTCAGCCTCCCAAGTAGCTGGGATTACAGGCACAAAGTATTTTTTCAGCATCCACCATCTCCTGATCTATTGGGTTCCCCATACCTGCATAATAAGAAAACCTACATTTATCTATCCATTCATGCATCTCTCTCTCTCTCTCTCTCTATCTATATATCTATCCATCCATCTATCCATTTTTCTGTTTAGCAGCACTGAGGATTGAACCCAGGGCCTTTACACTGAGCTACATCCAGGCCCTCTTAACATTTGGTGGGGGGTACCTGGGCTTGTACTCGGGACCTTGTGCTTTGCAAGGCAGGTGGTAGAACCACTGAGCTAAATCCCCGGCCCTCATTTTTCATTTTGAAACAGAATCTCACTAAGTCACTGAGTTACCCAGGCTGAGTTTGAATTTAAAATCCTCCTGCCTCAGCCTCCCAGAGTCCTGGGATTACAGGCATGTATCACCACACTTGGCCAAAACCTATATTTAAAAATGGATGTCAAGGCTGGGGATTTAGCTCAGTGGTGCCGCCACCTGCCTCTCAAGTACAAGGACCCAAGGTCG